GTCTGCTTCTCCCTCTGACCCTCCCCCCTCTCATGCTCTCTCTCTCTCATTCTCTCTGTCTCAAATAAATAAATAAAATCTTAAAAAAAAAAAAATGTGCACAAATTTATTCTTCATTCACTTAGCACTTATAATGTCTTCAACATATTGTCACATCTATCATCCCTTCCATCCCACCCCGCATTCCTATGAAGCAGGTAAGGCAGGCATTAGTTACGTATTTAAATTAATGTCCTGGTAAAAATCTGCAATGGATTTGTCAAAGTCACAGCAAATTAGATCCAAAACGGAGAGTAGTTACCTGACTCCACATGCACTTTGTTAATATATTGCCCTATTTAATTTCTCTAAAATTCCATTTGGTATAAAGAATACACCACGGTTAAAAAAAAAATTTAAAAGCAGCCCACAAATCCTTATGCAAAAGGTAGCTTTCTGAATATTCAATAGTCAAGAAAATTTCCATGTTTATTCTGTGTCATTAAGAAATATCTGTTCCCCTTTGCCTAACTCTGAGGTGATGTTTTATTAGCTCTCTGGTTTGATACACATACAAACCTGATTCTTATGGATGATACTCACTGATCTGTTCTTCTTGGGTTATTGGCTCCTCATCATCTGGAAGGTAGCGTTTATCAATTGCCTCTTTAATCTGGTTATTGGCTCCTTTAGGATCTAAATCCATAGCCCAAGAGAAATTCATCAGGGCGAGGTGTGTTTGACCTAACTTCTTGTAAACCTAAAAATAAACAGCAGCACTACATTTTTCATTAAGTTGTGAGTTTCAATTATAAAATCCTATACATTAATAATTTAAATAGGCTTCTGATTTACATGCTATAAACCCATTCTGATGAGTAGGCCACTTTCATCCTATAGAAAAACTCAGAGTTAACTTCTGAGTTCCTTCTAATATATTCAGATATTTTCAGAATTCCTTGCCTCTGTCTCTCTGATAGTGAGCTTCCAATAAATCATACTTTGATTGGATCAATGACAACTGAAAGAAATGAACTACAAGCTGCTTGATTAGCATTATGTACACTGATTTTTAAAGGCTATTATATCAACTCTTAACACCTGTCCACTGTTCCCAGCTACCTTCACCAGTTGGCATCTATGGGCCAAGTCTGTAAAGTCTTGACTAGTCTGGTCTTGGAAACCTTGGAAGCCAGTTCTTCTAATTAAGACTACACAGAGCATTAATTTTTTTCTTTTGGGGGATGCCTACATATTTTGTTGATAATTGGAAGCTAAGAGCTTTCCAAGATGTAGTCTCAGTAACGAACTCATGACTGCCAATGGCTGCAAGTGCTAATATACTTCCAAAACCATAGTATGTTTAGGATTATGGTGTGTATGTTCTTGCTCCTTCATCAGGATATCATCTTCTTAAATGTTTTAACTAAATCCATTCTTTATTCCCAGAGCATTTAGTTCAGAGCTCTAGTTGAATTTGCTCAGCAGATGTTGCACAATATGTATTATATTTCTTCTTCAGAAGTATTTGTTATGAAAGTCACAGTTTAGGACCATGGCCCAAATCTTTACCTTTCCTATTAAGAAGTAAACGAGGGATTCTTTGGGAACAATTTGTTTCAATTCTTCAAGTTCTTGTAAAGCAGACTGAAAAAAGCAAAGAAAAACAGAGTAGCAAAATTTTACAAAGTTCTAACTAAGCAAGTGTTTTTATTTGATTTCCCAAATCATCTTAACTAAAGCTTATACTAGATCTTAATTAATGCACTTCCCTATTGCGTTAATTCTTGTTGTGAAAATAAAATGCATGAAAATACTTAAGACAACAGGAACTAAGAAATGGCAGGAATTCACCAGAGTACATGGAGAACACACAGACATGCGGGTGACAATGCTTGCTTTGGTCACCATTTTATTTAAAATAACAATACTCCATTACACTGTGTGTGAAAGAGTTTTGAAAACTAAGTTGCAGAATAAAACAATTCTGAAGTTCTGTTAATATACCGTCTCCCTGATGCAAACACTAAGCTTTGACTACCAACCTGCCATTTTAACTCATGATGAAGAGTCTAAAATTTAACCCTCTGAATTAAGTCAAAACTGTCTAGAAATCTTCTGACCATTGCTAAAGGGTTCGGGAAATTGAGAGAAAAGATAGAGAAATAGATTTTTATTTAAAAGACATGATCAAAAATAAAACTGGTTCCCCAAATGAGATATTGTCCACTTTTCACCTAGCAAATGGACAAAAATAAAAATAAATTGATGTTGCATAAAGTTAGTATGAGAGAGAGGAATCAGGCATTCTCATTACTGAAGGTGGAATTGTAAACTGATGCAACCTGTTTGTGAGGACAATTTAGCATTATCTATTAAGTTAAAAACTGCACCATTGATTCAGCAATCCCGCTGCTAGGAATTTCTCTCAGGGATATATTAAAAAAATTCACTAAATCATCTTTATAAGAACATTCGATCCAACATGCTACTGCAAATCACTAGAAGCAATCAAGATGTGTCTAATCACAGTCTAGTTAAATAAACTGTGGTCCATTCTCTATGCAACACTAGATTTATAGGTGCTCAACCATATGTTAAAAGAAAAGAAGCAAAAGCGAGATGCAAAAGAGTAGGTGCAATAATACTATTTCTTTCGTAACAAAACATATATGCCACACATATACCAATAATTATGTGGGTATTCCCACAAATATTTTATATTTATATGAGCATATAAATTTTTCTTTTTTTCTGGCAGAAATCAATACATATATGCCCCATATAAATGGCTTACCTTTGGGAAAGGGATGATTGAGGTAAAAGGGGAGCAGGGACCTTCTATTTTTTCCTTGGTAGCTTTCTCTATTTTTTGAATTTTCTAACATAAATATTATATTTTATTTCTCTTTAATGTCGACAGAGGTTATCTACTTTTCTTCTCTATACCTCTTTGTAGTAAAACAAAATCCAATGTAAGTTAGGTTAAAAAAGAAAAAAAGGTAAGTATCAACTATCCACAGGAGTGTTAAAGTGAAAAGAAGCAAATTATAGAACAGTATGTGTAGTTGCATTAGTTTCCTATTCTGTCATAACAAATTACCACAATTTTGATGGCTTAAGACAAATTTTTTTATCTTATAGTCTGTGCATTAGAAGTCCAATATGAGTCTCACTGGGCTAAAATCAAGGTCCCTTCCTTTGTGCAGGGTATCTGTTTCCCTGCCTTTCTTGGCATCTAGAGGCTGCCCACATTTTTGGGCTTGTAGCCTTCTTCCTCCATCTTCAAAGGCTACAAAGGCTGGTTGAGTCCTTCTCATGCTGCTTCTGACTACAGCTGGGAAAGATCCTCCACTTTTAAGATTCATGTGATTAGACTAGCACCGCCTGAATAATGCAGGATACTCGCCCCAACTCAAGGTCCATATCCTTAATCACATCTGTAAAGTTTCTTCTGCTGCGTAAGGTAACACATTCACAGGTGCTCAGGATTAGGGCATGGACATCCTTGAGGGGTCATTACCCTGCCTACCACAACAGGGTAAGTCTACTGTTAGGTACAATTAAAAATATATAAATAATGAGAAAAAGATCTAAAGAAGTATGTTCTGAGTTGTTAACAATGCTCCTCCCTGGAGGGTCCCCTTATGAGGCACATTCAACTTCGTATTTTCTTATACTTTCATATTATTTGAATTTTTGGGTAACAAGCCTATTACTTTCATAAAAAGCCCCCACAAAGATATAAGGAATAAAGCAGTGATCAAAGAGAGTGGGCTAGTAAAGGTATCAGAGGATTATAGCATTTGGGTAACATAGGGGATTTATTCATTGACTGGTATAAGACTTTAGTATTATTTCTCTAAGAAGGGTATAAAGAATAAGGAACCAATCTTATTTCACAGTTCTAAAAAAGTTTAATACATTCCTACCTGACCCTCCCTTAACCTAAGGCCAAATGTAATTTCCTGGCTTTTGTAAATTGTAGGCATTATCTAAAATAAAAGATTTACATAAAATGTTTTTGTGGGAAGTAGTATGAAAATAGCTGGGTGGTAGGTTCCATGGACTCATTATCACAGTATAGTGATGTTTGAAATTTTCTATAATAAAAAGGAATAAAAAAGAGTAAAGGCAAACACACACACACACACACACACACTTTCTTGGTGTATTTGTTTCAAGTGCTGTGTTTTTTACACAAGTATGTAAGGGGCTCTGGTGCATCCTTAACACTTCATTGTCTTCCTAATTGCTGGCAGCCCAAGAGAAATAAACTCAAAGTACTGCTGGGCTGAATGGGTCTGAGAATCACATCTGCTAGTCTATGAATGGAAGAATTATGACATATGATAATTCTACGAGGTAGACTGTTCTCTATTCCTTCCATACTATTAAGTATTGTAAAATATACATGGAATAAAGAATCAAGATAAAAGATCCGTGGTCATGGATACTATTTACTTACAATCACTGTTAACACCTGTCAAATGTTACTGACAGGGACTGAAAAAGCCTGTACCACAACGAAGAAATCTGAGACTGATTTTAATATTGCAAAAAAGCAATTTTTACACTTGTTGGGTCTCCAGACTTCTTTACACTCTTAAAGCTTATTGAGGAACCCAAAGAGTTTTTGTTAATGTGGATTATAGCTATCAATACTTACTATATCAGAAATTAAAATGTGAAGGTTTTAAAAATATTTATCCATTAATTTAAAAGTAACAACACCAAACCATCACATGTTAACATAGATAATATTTTTTTAATGAAAAATAACTTTTTCAGAACAATTAAGTCAGTAAGAATAGTGGTACTGCTTAACATTTTTGCAAATCTCTGGTTAAAAGAAAACAGGTGGACTCTCTTATCTGCTTCTGCATTCAATCTGTCATGTAGCTTTTGGAAAATTCTACTGTACATTGGTGAGATGATAAAAGTGAAAAAGGCAAATAACATCTAAATATTATTATGAAAATAGTTTTGACCTTGTAGACTCCTTGAAAGGACTTTTGGGGGCCCCCAGAAGTGCCCAGGCCATACTTTGAGAACCACTGTTTTAAAGAAATCTTAATCAGGACAATGCACCCCAATCCTTCACTGCTCACCACACACAGTTCAGAATGGATAGGTTTTCTTTCTATAACTGCATGTTGTAATTATAAAAATTTCATTTATCATACCTCCCCACCTCAATAATCTAATTACAAAGACTCATTGAGAAACACTGACTAACACAGTATCAGAGTTCTCACTTTTGCCTTAAAGACTTAAGACTTACCTGATATCAATGCAGCTCATTAAATAGGATGGTATTTAGAAGGCTTTTGCCACAGAGAGGTTGCCACCATTTGCTTTTCATTTTTCAAGCCAAGACATTTCAGAAGTAATCAGTAACTTTTTCCTCATACCCCTTTTTATTTTAATAGAGGTATACTGGATGTACCCGTGCATCAAAGTAGGCCTTACAATTTGGCCAAACCCTAAGCTGGTAGTCAAAAATGGCTGTGACCATTATAGCTTCAACAATGGGTCAGATTAGAATTTGGGCTTCTTGAACCAAGAACAGGGCTGATTTATACGGCATACTTCGTAGGTGTGTTGATATTAAAATGGCTTTGAGAATAATAAATTGAATAAAATCCTTCAATTGAAGAATCTGACCACAAATGTAAAGAGATGCAATGAAGCAAAAACATGAAAACAAATGATGAATTACAATTATAGTACCTCAAAGAGCAAGTTAAAAGTTGTAAAGTGTTTCTTAGATTTAAAAGTAGCTTTTATAGGGGCGCCTGGGTGGCTCAGTTGGTTAAGCGACTGCCTTCGGCTCAGGTCATGATCCTGGAGTCCCGGGATCGAGTCCCGCATCGGGC